ACTTGGAGAAGGTAGATGACAAGAAGGACTTCTTCGGACGAGCGAGCTCGGACATAAGAGTAATTTTATTTTTTTCCTAAATGTCTTTTTAGCAATGGCGGGATTTAGTATCACGTTATGAAAAACAAAATCTCTACCTCGGTAAGTTAACAAATTACTTCTAACGCAGCCAGCTGAGGTGGCAGAACGTCTGAATGAACTGTGTTTCCTGATTCCTAAGTGCAAGTCAGCAATCGCGGATAGGCAGAAGCTCATCACAGTAAGTTTATTTTTCACACATTTACTTTTGTGACCTCCCGTGAGTGCATTTTCGTTCTGCAAATTTGACAGTAAAACTATTAATGTGAAGGTCATATCTCCAATCTCCAAATCCTTCTGTAGGGTTTTAAGGTTCCCATAATTATTTTAAACATCCTATTCTCACAAATGTCAGTGCGTGATAAGGTATTTCAGTGGATATGAATTTGCTACAAGTAATCTATTGTCAGTATTTTAGTCTCACTGCTTTGGTGTTGTGCTTTTCATCTGTTCCACAGGATCTGCAAAAGAAGGTCAAGGAATTCACTGTTAATCAACAATCCAAAGAAGCTGAACTAGAACGTTTTCGAAAACGCTTCGAAATTACAGTAAGATTCTAAAAGGCGCTAAAATTTTCTCAAGGATGATTACGTTAGGTTGCAACTACTAGAAAAGGCCAACACGGTCCCGCAGTTGCTTTGTACTTTGCTTACCGACCTTCATTCAGTTGCGCCTGCCGTCGAATACTACACCTCATTTACTGAATTTGTAAATAAAAGGTAAGCCACCCACTTTCTCCATACCCCACCATTTATGGAACCCACTAGAACAAAATACCCTTGAGGATTACTATGCATTTCTGAAAATTTTCTTCGAAGCCGCCGTTTTTGTTGTCACAACTCGCCGAGGTGAACCACATAAAGTAATAAAGCAACGGAGGGGTTATTGCTCGAATGGATGAAGCTCTGATCTTTTGCAAAACCGTCGTTAGATCCGCACCATTAACAGAATCCAAGTTTCCAAATCCACTATGTCGGCCTTGCTTATGATCAGTTTCAAATCTTGAACAATAAGTGCTATATAGGAGTAAAAGCTGAATGCATCTGACAGTCGTTGTACCAGAAGCGTTTTATGCGCATGATAGACCGACAAACATTTTCAATGAGGTGTCTACTCGCTGCTTATTAGATTTTAAGGACACTGAGTAAGTCATAAACAATGAAGTCTTCACCACAATTGCTGCTGCTTGGAACAGTTTACTGCGTCGCCATCAGAAATTCCTTCAGTGTGATTAGATGAAAGGATAGTTTGAGAGTCGCTAGTCTCTGAGCTCAGTATTATATGGCATCGAAAATTACAGAAGAAACGGGATGGAAATCACCCAAAAGTTGATGCGAATCGCTACAAATATTAGGCTCGCTTCCAAGGTCTTATTGAAGCTGTCTAGATCACTTATGATCGTAGCAAGTATACATGCAATTACTGCACTGGTTAAGACGAAACTAGAGACAGACATTAAAGGCAGACATAGTACTTAAATCACGTGGATTTTTATCACCGAGTGTCCCAATTTTCAATTAATTTTTAGTTTAATGGGTTCCTGTCTACCTACTAAGAATCCTTTCCAGTAGCAGTGCACAACTGAATTAACCTTTTTCAACTCCATATTACGTTCTATGGGAAAGTTTTTAATCACTCGAATTCATTTATAACCCAGTCTATAGTCTTGAACGTGTTATCTCAATGTGGTCACTACCGTTATAACGGAAGCCCAGGCCGAGATATCACCGCCCAATAACGCCTTGTGTGAGTC